AAAAAAAAAAAAAAATTGGTCTGTTGATGTTTTAATTTGTAACAACTTGAGACTTCAATATCAAAGTTTTATGTTTAAATTATAACGTGGGTGGAGAAGGATTTAAGTAGGTTAAATGTTAATTTTAGTTTTTAAACCTTAAATTTTGTGAAAAATATTAAGACGTTTTAATATTTATAATATTAAAATATTTAATAATAATTATATGATAAATTTAATAATATTAGAATTTATATTATATTTTATATATTAAATTTTGTAATTAAACATCTTAAAGTTTTATAATTTTTTCGTTTTCCAAATTTTGTACTTTTTTCCCCTAAACTGAATTAAACACATTTTATGACTTTTTCTTTTCCCAAATTTTGTATTTTTTTTCCTAAACTAATCTAAACACCGTTTTGTGACTTTTTCCTTTTCCAAAATTTGTACTTTCCCCCCTAACTAATCTAAACACGTTTTTCACTTTTTTTTTTTTTTAAATGGGTTTACATTTTTAGGGAGGGAGAATCTAAACACGTTTTTCACTTCTTTTTTTTTTTTTAATGAGTTTACATTTTTATGAAGGGAGAATTCGAACCTAATCCGTAAATTAAGGATGCATCTTATTACAAGATTTATAGTTATCGGGCTGTCAAACTCAAGTGCCACGTTTTTCACCTTTTTAACTCCTAGATGTCACAAGAGAGTATCATTCTTTGAAACAATTTGAGCACTGTTTTTGTACCTTAAATATAGATTTTTATGATTTCAAGGACCATATTAGGGTAAGGAGGAAAAAAAAGTACAAAGCATAAAGTTTAGTAATCAAAATTAGCATTTAAGTGGTGTCTTCTTTTTCAAAATTTCATGTTTTTATTTGTATTGAAACATGAGTGATTTTCTACAAATCATAATCAAGTTGCCATTCACTAATTGTAATGTCTTGATTTGGCGTTAAGAACTAAAATTCGAACCGCAGTATTAACCCGAGCTAAATTCTCAGTACTGATAATGTAATAAATAAGAAAGATTTATTTTGAACACACTTCAATTTTTATTGACAAATTTGACAACAATATTGCTGCTGCAACAAAATCATATCTGCTTCTATTTCTGTGACCTGGTATTTAAGTGTATGTTCTACAATTACACCTATTGGGAAGGAACAAATCTCACTGATTACAAAGGCCCTATTCATGCTGCAAGCAGCCACAAAAAATAGAAAAAATTGTTGCCTAATAGACGTTTTGAAGAAACATGATCCTGTACTACTAAGAATTTTGCCGAGTTAGTATCTACTAACATAAAAACCTTAATTTGGGGTCAAAATCAAAAGTTCAAACCTCTATATTACCCAACAGCTAACCTTTTGATATATAAAAAATAAAAAAGAAAAAAAAAAATCCTGTAAGAACAAGATTTATGTAAGTTAACTACTCTACATTCCTCTCAACCGCGTTCGTGTCTGAAAATACAGGCGTTGTTTTGTTCTGCATTTCAGCTTTCCTATTCCAACAGTTTTTGGCAATGTGACCCTTCTTGCCACAATGGCTACAGACCAAGGCCTTCTTATGTGGTTCTGCATCTTGCCTTTTCCACTGTAACCCCGGTTTCCTCATATCTGCTGTCCTTGTTCCAGGTCCTGTATTCTTGGGTGGATGAAAGCCTGCAAACTTGGAGTGCTCCCCTTGTTTATCTCCATTGCGAGACTCTTCCTCAACCCTTACACGATCCATCAGCATCCAGAAAGGAAGATGTTCCTCTCGCATCAACTTAATAGAAAAGTCCTTCCATGATGGGGGAAGCTTAGAAATGATGGCACTGACATGAAAGTTTTCATCAATCATCATTCCGGCAGCAACAATGGAGTCAGCAGTGGTATTGAGTTCTTGTATTTGCTCAAGTATCTGTTTTCCATCAACCATTTGAAACTCAATGTACCTTTTAACTTGAGATCTCTTTGTTCCAAATTCTTCATAAAGATAAACCAATTTCAGCTCCTCCCATAGTTCTTTGGCGCTGTTAGTTTTCTTTGAGAATTGCTGATATAGGGTATCAGATAAAGCGTGCAAAATGCAGTGGCAACAAAGGTACTCATCACTCATCCACTTCTGTTCAATAGCTTTGGCCTCAATACTTTCTTCATTTTCTTCTGTGCTAGGAGTAGCACTTGGGGGTGGATCAGTCAGCACATAAGCAATCTTCAGTTGCTTTAAGAATAATTCCATCCGTGCTGCCCATGAGTGGTAGTTTTTCCCATCAAAACGAGTGGTCTCAAGAGGAACAAATCCATGAGTAGCAGCCACTGTTGACTTAGACACATGGCCATTTTGTTCACCACCATGTTCAGATCTGGAGTGGATTAATATTACACAACAGATTTTCAAGCCAAAATCAATGTCTGAGAAAATGTCTCCTATACTACAAGCCCTTATTGAGAAAAGCCCTACACACACACACACACACTGTCATGTTTGACTAATTATTTACTTCTAGCAGCAAGAATATGAGCATGCAAGTCATAACTCAGTGTTAATTCTGTTTTTCAACATCACCAAAAATTTCCTGCACTATACTGATAAACTGATCTGCAAAGAAACGATATACTTGCTCACTTAAAAAACGAATATGCAGAGTCTTACCTTAACTTTGATTTCATCTTTTCTATAGCTTCTTCTATTGCAGGGATACTTTTCTTGAAAGCTGACCAGTCTTCACTTGCCAAGCTAACACCTGACAGGTAAATAGGGAAAGAAGGCTGAGAAAGAGCTTTTGGTTAGGTGAGCGAGAACAATAGCCAGCTATTTCAACACAGAAACCAATTAGCATAAATAGTAGAAGAGGCACTGAGGCTCCATAGTGTATGGTGAGAGTGTCTGTGCTGGAACTAAGGATTAGTAGAACAGATTAAATACTTATCTAAAACAACTGCTTTAATCATAAACTTAATCTTCACTGTGAATAAATTGCAACTTGCGGGTAAAAATTATGCAAGAGAAGAAATAAAAGGGAAACATAATATATACCAGTAGCAGATGGGAGTTGTTTTCCATCTTTTCTATAAAAGTCCCTGATCGACACATAAGTTTTCCCCCTGAACTCATGAAGCATCACATTTCTCTTGTTTGATAGCTAAATCAAAATAATAATAATAACAAAAAAATAAAAATCATGAATAGATAGTTCGATGGAAATTAAACATGTAAAGTCAAAGCTTAGTAATTATGGGTTCTTTAGTTGTCTGCATAACTTAACAGCTCTCAACTTCTCCACCACCAATATTACTCTTTTAGGGTTTAGACTAAATCTGGAGTTTCTATTGATTGATTCAAACAAAGCCAATTCTCAACTTTATCAACTAAAAAATTGTTTCATTTTTAGTTTTTTGGATAACACGGGTATCCGGACCTTGGTTTCATTTTCCCATGAACTTTACCTGAATGGAGACTTAAGATTTCCAACCATCTCAATAAAGAAATAAGTATGGAACTATAGTCTAATTTCACTTCTCATTCTTTACCAATTACAGACTGAATGCGGAAAACACCATAAAACAATGAATTGAATAGCTCTGTTAGTCTCACAAGTTTCATTCTTTAGCAGAATTCCCAACCAAACTAACAGAAACGAAATCCATGATGATTTTCTTTCATCTACTACTAAATTTTTAGATTTGCCATTACCACAAAAATTGTAAATTTCAGATTCAAAACCCTTAAACCCTACCTTGCAGATAAGGCGATTCCCATCCCCATCAACCTCCATCTTAGTCCTGGCAGGTTCTTCCCCTTCTCGAACCGCCTCTTTGGTCTGTTCATGGAGAACCAAATCAGCTTCTTTGGCCTCATCTGTCTCTTCGGCGGTAGAGAGTAGAAAGGACTCAACAACGCCTCTGACAAACCTCCTGTGCTCCATATCGGAGAGGTCGATTCCGAGTCGCTCCGAGGCTGCGGCTCGAACTTTGAACTCAGTCATCTCTTCCATGTCCGCAGTCCTCAGTATCTCCTTCACTGTTTCCTCGATTTTCCGTGGAATTTCCTCCATTTTCCAGCAATCTGAGGAAAAAAAATAAATAAATCAGACGATAAAAAGTACAAAACTTCCAAGCCCTTCCTCGCAAAATAATGTAATCCCACTCTCGCATTAGGGTTTTAGAACTGAATCCAACCTCGCCACAAGGAATTGCAGCGAAAAATCAAAGTTTAATTGTAGGAGACAAATAGGTTCCACCCAGATTTGAACTCGGGCTATTGAATTCAGAGTCCAATGTCCTAACCACTAGACCATGGAACCCTTAGGTGGTACCTCCCAACAAATCTTGCCTTATTATTCTCTCAAGGATTCCTACTTTGTGAACCCAAAAAAAAAAAAAAAAAATGTAGGAGACCATACCGGACCTCCCCAGTTCCCACCAACCCAGCAACTGTTCCTTCCCCTACATCTCCATGTCAAGATCGTGAAGTGCAGTTGAATACATTCATTTCTTCCCCTGTACCCAATCTCTGAAATTGGTACTGCCTTTCTTATATATAGTCTCTAATGGGTTTTCTGTAGAATTTCAAGCGACATGGATATATCCACCTTGGCTTCAACTCTTCTGTTCACAGCTTTTGTCGCCAACGTGGCTTTCCGGTGGTTCAGCCGACGGTCGTCGGAGAAGGCTCAAAAACTTCCCCCAGGTCCACCGAGATGGCCCATTGTGGGCAACCTTCTCCAGTTAGGTCCACTCCCTCACCGAGACTTGGCTTCTCTCTGTGACCGTTATGGTCCTTTGGTCTACCTCCGACTCGGCAGCGTCGACGCCATCACCACTAATGACCCCGATATCATCCGCGAGATTCTCCTCCGTCAAGACGACGTCTTCGCCTCCCGGCCGAGAACTCTCGCCGCCGTTCACCTTGCCTACGGCTGTGGTGACGTGGCATTGGCCCCTTTAGGCCCACACTGGAAGCGGATGAGGAGAATTTGCATGGAACACCTATTGACAACGAAAAGGCTAGAGTCGTTTGCCAAACACCGGGCCGAGGAGGCCCAACATCTGGTACAGGATGTTTGGGCCCGAGCTAAAACCGGAAAGCCTGTGAACTTGAGGGATGTCCTGGGGGCCTTTTCGATGAACAATGTGACGAGAATGCTGTTAGGAAAACAATTCTTTGGGGCCGAATCTGCAGGCCCAGAAGAGGCCCTAGAGTTCATGCACATAACCCATCAATTGTTCTGGCTCTTGGGTGTTATTTATTTGGGTGATTATTTACCCATTTGGAGATGGGTGGACCCATTTGGTTGTGAGAAAAAGATGAGAGAAGTGGAAAAAAGAGTCGATGATTTCCATTCAAGAATTATTGAGGAACATAGAAAAGCCAAACAAAGGAAAGGAAAAACATTCTCAGTAGAAGAAGATTCTGAAGAAATGGATTTTGTTGACGTTCTCTTGTCACTGCCTGGCGATAATGGAAAAGGCCACATGGACGATATTGAAATTAAAGCTCTCATTCAGGTCCTTAATGTTTTTTTTTTTTTGGTCAATAAGGGTGCTTTCAGCCTATAAAAACTAATCTTTAATTGAGATTAAGAGTATGTGAAACGCACTTTGGTTATAGTGTGTCATTAATTTAATAACTCTTCGTATTAATATTTATGAATTTTTAAAAGTTTAGGTTTAAATTATTAATAATAGTTAATATCTGTATTTATATATTAATTACACTTATAATTGTGTCTCGACATTAGATTCGGGCGTCACATATTATGTCATTTTTAATTTTTATATTTTATTTGTAATTTTAATTTGAAGGAATTGTTGGTTTAATGTTTTGATCAGGATATGATAGCTGCAGCCACAGATACCTCAGCTGTGACCAACGAATGGGCGATGGCGGAGGTGATCAAGCATCCACGTGTCCTCTGTAAGATCCAGGAAGAGCTTGATTCCGTGGTGGGTCGCAATCGGATGGTGGACGAATCTGATCTGGTCCACCTTAACTACCTGCGTTGCGTCGTACGTGAAACCTTCCGCATGCATCCAGCTGGTCCGTTTCTAATCCCGCACGAGTCAATTCGCGCCACGACCATCAACGGCTATTATATCCCCGCCAAGACACGTGTCTTCATCAACACTCACGGGCTGGGCCGAAATGAGAAGATATGGACCGACGTGGAGCAGTTTCGACCCGAGAGGCATTGGCTGGCTGACGGAAGCCGAGTGGAGATAAGCCACGGAGCCGATTTCAAGATACTGCCTTTCAGTGCTGGAAAGAGGAAGTGCCCCGGCGCGCCACTTGGGGTTACGCTGGTGCTGATGGCTCTGGCTCGGCTCTTCCATAGCTTTGAATGGGCTCCCCCGGAGGGCATGAGGCCCAAAGATATAGACACGAGTGAGGTTTATGGGATGACCATGCCTAAGGCGGAGCCCTTAATGGCTATTGCCAGGCCACGCTTGCAGGACAACTTGTACTGCTGAATGAATATGCAGCAAATTCTTGGTTTTCTTTCTCTGTAATTCTTTGATTTTCACGCCAATATTTGTCTTTTTTAACTAAGTGGGAAGCTTGCCGACAGTAAAATTATTTTAGATGGCCAAATTGCATTTTTAATATTCAGTTTAAATTTAAAAGGCACATATTTTTATAATTTTAATGGTTCAATTTCATTTTTAATATATGGTTTAAATTGAAAAACTATGTGTTGTTATGTTTTTACCTTCTTTTCATTCATACATATTCTTATCATCTTTTGTGAAGAGTCAACAGATAACAATATAAAATATATCCTACGGGTATAATTATTATTATCATAAAAAATGTTAAGATTATTGAATTTCCAATTTTTTGTTTAAACAATGTTTGAAAATGTTAATTTATTAATTAATAAATATTAATTATTTTATAAGTTATTAATTAATAGTTATAATTATTAAATATTTGTATTAATAAAATTAAATAAAATTAATATTATAAAAAATAATATTTAAAATTTTTAATGATTTTAACATTTTGTTTTAGAGAACATAATCCTATTGTCTAGTTAAAAATAGAGGGGAAAAACAAAGGGAGCCGATTCTAGGAGTTTCTCTCTAGGGTTTCCCATGTTAGTGTTCTTAAGGTAAGTCCTTCAGAATTCAGTGGTTCTTTCTTTTTCTCTTTGCACTCAAAACCTAATTAGTACTTCTCGAACACCAAACTGGTTTTCATCTCATCATGGAGTAATTTTTAACAACCTCGAGTGTTCTGGCATATTAAATTTGGTTCACATGTTGCATTAATTGCTTATTTCACAAAAAGCTTTATATAGTTCGCTTACTCAAGGAGATGATGGGGGAGCCCTCTAAGGAAGGAGAAGCTCTCTCCCCTCCTTTGTGACACACCCTAGTCATCCAATTAGAATCCAAACACAAAGACGGAGTTAGCGAACTTCATCATTTCTTTTTCGTTGGTCAATTGATTGCAGAGCATGAGGAGATCCATAACGGTTTAGTGTATGGTATTCTAAAGAGTGCTTGGAGTCCAAAAGGTGGTATGGACTTCATGAACAATCTAAGCATACATATGTTTTTATCCTTTCAAATGAGGAAGAAAAACAAAGGATATTCAATAGCTTCCCTTGGTCTGTTAAGGGCCATCATCTAATACTCAAGGACTGGCCTGAATCTTAACACTTCGATGAAATAAATTTCTCAACAACAGAATTTTGGGTGTAGGTTCATGCATTATCCAAAGAAGCCACGATAGAGGAAAATACTAAACGCATTGGCTCACTATTCCCTCGACTCATATCCTCGGACGCATCCACTTTGGGGGGTCTAGAGAGCTTCATGAGGCTAAGAGTGGAAGTAGATATTCACATGCCTTTTCTTACAGGTTTCGAATTTATATTTCAAAAGAGCACATGAAGTTGGCTAAATTTCATTATGTAAAACTTACTGATTTTTGTTATCAATATGGCATGCTTGGCATACTATCAAAACTTATGATGACTATCGATAGACAAATGAAAAAAGGAATTATCTATCTTAGGCTCGCCCGGCATACAACCCTTAATTGAGAGCACCATCTTACTTTCCTCAACGACACTTTGATGTGCTCCATATGAAACCCCAGCACTCGAAGCCTCTACATGAAGGGGTAGCCTTTACGGGGATCACCAACAAAAACAATCAGTTGACAATATCACCGAAAATCAATACAGAAGAGAGGTAGAGCATAGATTCAAGTGAATTTGAGGCGGTGCATGCACACCAACTTTTAGCGAGACGTGTGATTTCTACCTCTCAAGAGCCATTATCGCTTTCATTTAATGAAACTAGGTCTCAAGTTTCAAAAGGTTTACATGGATGTCCTTCCCAGAGCATAAAGTCATCATTACTTTTATCTAAACCCATTTTCCAAGGATGGCTTCATTAAATGTGAAAGGGACAATGGAGAAGTCACTAGAGGCTTTTAGATTCACGCAATCTCTTAACATTGGGTTGAAAGTTTCAAGCCCAATGTATTATCCATGTCAGGTTGGTGGGCCAGAAGAACAAATTGAAAGCCTCCATGTGAGTTTGATTAAGTAGCCTCCTATACTATCAGAGCAATTCGGACCCAATTGAATTTGAGTGAGGAATCAAATCGGGAAAAAAAGGGAAGAAGAAAAAAAGAAAATTGGAAAAAAAAACTAAAAAGGCCTAAAATCCAAGCTAGTGTAGAAAGTGAGCCTTTAAGCTCCCCAGCCCAACTATAGAAAGCCCTTTCACATGGGCATTTAGTTTTTGACTCAAAAGAACTACCTTATTTCTTTACAGATGTGGAAGAATCTATCTTGGTGCAGAGAGCTCGTCGCAAAATATGACTCGAAGCTTTGCATCGTCAAATTTGAGCTTGACTAGATCCCCGATTTACACTAATCCAATCTTTTCATCCTACTCAAAAACAATTTGAGGAACCCCCTTTTGAACCAACAATAATGGTTGTGGATCTCACTCTAGTTTATTTTGTTGTTGCATTCTACTCTCCATCAAATTCATCAGAGCAATCACAACAAACGGCATAAGATATAACGACTTCAGCGGCTTGCCCTTGGTAGCCACCTCCTTCACCATGAACATCATATCGTGGAATTGTCAGGGCCTTAGGCAAGCCCTGACACGAAGAGTGCTTAAGGACTTAATCTTTAAACATAACCCATGCATTGTGTTTTTTATGCAGACCAAGCAATCTCGTAATGATATGAAGCGGTTAAAAAGACAATTTCAATTCTCTAATCATTTGCATATGGATCCACAAGGTTATTCGGGGGGTTTGACCTTGTGGTGGTCTGAAGATGTAAATATATCCTTCCTTTTTTGTGATCAGTTTTTCTTTTATGGAAGTTGCTCTACAACTGATTATGCTTGCTCTTTGCATTTTACTTTCGTTTATGGGGAACCTAATATTCAACTTAGAAGGTTTATGTGGGATAAAGTAATGGATATGCAATGACACAGCTTAGCTCCTTAGTTGCTAATGGGTGATATCAACTGGTGGGTGATAGTGCTAACAAAGGCGGAAAAAGGCCCCTTATAGTGCTAGACAAAACTATCCTCAATGAATTAATGATTGTTTGTTCTTTAAGGGAAATTGGATTCAAGGGCTCAATCTTCACATGGACCAACAGAAGGCACGAAGAAAAGTATAGTAGAGAAAGGCTCGACTGGGCTTTAATGAATGATAGCTGGCATAGGTTGTTTCCTAATGCACAATTGTTTCATTACACCAAAGTGGGGTCTGATCATAATCCATTACTAATTAAATTTGCAAGCTATTCCTAGAATGCAAAGGAAAAGGTTTCAATATGAACTAAAGTGGCAAGTGTAAGATGGATATTCCGAAGTCATTTATCAAGGATGTCCACTGACAAAGTAGGCTCCCCTCTCTTTTATTTGATGTCCAAATTACACAACCTCAAGAAAGCTTTGCAAACTTGGAGCAGAAATGTCCCAACAAAGACACAAGAGGAAATTGATCAGCTGTAAAAGGAACTTGATGCTCTGCAACAAAACCAAACATCTATAAGCACCATGGAACATGAGGGTAACTCAATCAAGAAAATCAATACCTTATGGGCTTAAGCTGAAGCTCATTGGTTTCAAAGAGCTCGGGTTAACTAGATTAACTTTAGGGATAACAACACCAAATATTTTCATGTTGTAGCTACTAGGAGGAGACAAAATAACCACATCTTTCAACTCAAAGATGACACATGTAGAATATTGGACATAGAGGATTCACTTCTAGACTATGTATATTCTCATTATCAGCAAGCATACCTTTCTCAAAATATTTCTAATTATAATTTTCTTGTGGAACTAATCTAGCCCTTTATTTTAGCTCAAATGAAAGAGGACTTATGTAAGGATGTTTCAGATGCTGAAATCAAAGCAGTTGTCTTTTAGCTTGGTGTTTACGAAGCTCCTAGCACAAATGGATTTTCGGGATGCTTTTACCAA